TTTCCCTATAGATAAATATGTTCCTGTTTTTCTTTATATAGACTCCAAACTTTCCAGAGTTGTAGGAAATCTGTTGCTGTGTAATACAGTGGAAAGAATTATGTGATCTAATGCTCAAATAATCTACTGGAGGACTTTGGATGTAAAACTGTTTCTTAATGTGTTTTCCAGATGCCTGTGACCTTTTGAAATTGCTTTTCCTCCCAACTTAATTTTAAGGCTCTTAGATTGACTGAGTTGAGCTATAGAAAGTAGTGAAGTAGAATGGTTGAATTGAATAAACTGGAAGAAAATATCTCTCTCTAGAAAGCCATTATCAACATAACAAAAACATTTTACAGAAACTCCCAAATGGTGATATGTTATAGGTGGGAAATGGCGAGTTAATTGAAATATTATGTCAATAAAGAGTTATACGTGATGTAATTTTCAAATAGTTAGGGACCAATAGAATCTATCTATTGTAACACAAACTATGCTAAACATAAGTTTAACGTTTCTTTGATTCATTCAGGTTATGGATGTGTAGACATTCTGGTTGAAAGTATTACATGTGATATTTTAGTGTTTCATAAGGTATTTTTCTTAGTACTTTCTCCCAGCGTTTACTGAATATTCTATATTGTATTAGTGCCTCTCCTGGTGCTCTGCCTATGGTAGTCACATAGCTAAGTTTACTGAAGCTGTCAACAGTGTGATATACTTAAACAAAATTCTGATTGATTCTTATCTGTTTCTTTCAGAAAAATCACCACCCATGTCATGGATTTTATCTGATTGTGTAGATCAGATTTCCTTATTCTGGATATCATGGTAACAATATAGGAAAGATGCATTATTTCTCATTTCTGCAAGTAGAATTCACTGCTGAAGGAAGAAATTTTTTAAGCTACAGCCAAATTCATTTTGGTACCGTTTATGGAAATCCTGATTTTGTTTTTACCTTTTTATAACCTTTCGCAAAAGGTATGAACAAGCAAAGAGCACATCTCATTAGGCAAGTCCACATTAATAAGAATGCCTAGAAGAGGATTGATTCTTCAGACCCGGACCCACTGGCTACTGTTGGGTCTCGCTTTACTCTGCAGTTTAATATTATTTTTGTACCTTCTGGAATGTGCCCCCCAGACTGATGGAAATGCATCTCTTCCCGGTATCGTTGGGGAAAATTATGGTAAAGAGTATTATCAAGCCCTCCTACAGGAGCAAGAAGAACATTATCAAACCAGAGCAACCAGTCTGAAACGCCAGATTGCCCAATTAAAACAAGAATTGCAAGAAATGAGTGAGAAGATGAGATCGCTGCAAGAAAGAAAGAATGTAGGGGCTAATGGCATAGGCTATCAAGGCAACAAAGAGCAAGCACCTAGTGATCTTTTAGAGTTTCTTCATTCACAAATTGACAAAGCTGAAGTTAGCATAGGAGCCAAACTACCTAGTGAGTATGGAGTCATTCCCTTTGAAAGTTTTACCTTAATGAAAGTATTCCAGTTGGAAATGGGTCTCACTCGCCATCCTGAGGAAAAACCAGTTAGAAAAGATAAGCGAGATGAATTGGTAGAAGTTATTGAAGCTGGCTTGGAGGTCATTAATAATCCTGATGAAGACGATGAACAGGAAGATGAGGATGGTCCCCTTGGAGAAAAACTGGTATTTAATGAAAATGACTTCATAGAAGGTAATGTGAAAACAGTGTTGTCTATAGTTACGTTAGTATGACAAAATTCTGTTATTGTATGCTGATAATATGTCAGTCATTATCCACAGTATTAAAACATTTAAATTTTTACCCACTAAACTCCACCAAGAATTTGAAGTGGCTTTTTACAAAAAGTTATAATGTGATCATGATAAAATAGAAAATAAGGACCAGGGAAATAGAATAAATCTAAGTTTATATAGCAAAACACTCCCCAAGTTGAAGGACTGTTAGGATTGTATATGTATTTGCACGTATATGTATTTGCATTTATGTCTTAACTGGTCTTGATGTTCGTTTTTTATATTTTTTAAAATATATGAACTAAGGCTCAAGATTTGAAAACCATTTGCTGAAGGAAAGAAAAAGAACCTAATTTAGATTAGTGATCGTTCTGTATTTTGAGTGGAGGAGAAACACATGTCAGAACATCAAGAGGCATACATAGTTTTGAAAAGCATATTTGGCATTTGGAAAAGTAAAGAAATAAACCTATTTTCCTAATACAGACTGCAGAAAGGGCATAGGATTTTTATATGTCAAAATGGGACGTGACTCAAAAGTTGAGGAACACTTGTATAAATTTAAGATATTTGTTGATTAATATAAACAGGAATAATTATAAATCCCAACCCATCTCCATCTTAATACCCCCTGCTAGATATTTAATTGTAGACTTAAAACCATTTTGGATACAAATATGTCTTGAAAGTTCTCTTTGCTCGATTCTGTAAACAGTATACCACGTGTAGGTTTTTTTTTTTTTTTTTTTTGACCCTAAATCATCATGGGTATCACTTGCTGTAATATAATACCTTGAGCCTTTGGAGGCCATCAGGGAGGGCCTTGTGCTTTTCTGTGGCATTTTAGCTGTCTTCTCCCTATAGCCACCTCTTTTCCCCTGTCACTTCCTGCAATTTTTGATGGGTTGTTTCTTTCAAAACGCTTGTAATTTTTCTGAAAGCTCAGCTTTTTGTCTTTTCACTGTGTATGTTTGTAGCTTATGGCAGAATTGAAAGCTGCAGAGGAAATAAGATAACTAAGATATGTAAAACGTCTTCATGTCTGCCTGAAAAGGAAGGAACCTATGCCAGTTTTATATTCCGCAGCTTCTGCTTTTCTTATAAATCTCCTCGGATTCTGTTACTTACAGGATTTCTCTCTGCATGGAACACATTTTGTCCCTTGCTTTTCCTCCATTGTGCTGCTTCCCTCATCAAAAAAAATAATTACTGACAATGATTTAGTAACTCCTGTTTCTCTACCAGACTTCAGCTTCGATGTCACTTCTTCTGGGAGGTGATCTCCACCCTGCAAGTTTAAGATAGCAGTACTTCTTCTACCCTGTGTCCCATCTCATAGCACTTGTCATAGTATATGGCATTTCCCACTTCCTGATTTGTAGTTTCTGATACACTGTAAGCCTCAGGAGGAGTGGGACCAGTCAATCTTGTTCACCATTTTATTTCCAGATATTGACTGACTCACACATCTGTAGGTCTAACCTCTCTCCTGAGTGTCACACTTAAAAACCAGATTGCCCAATAGACTTCCATACTTTATTCCCAAAGGTGTCTCATATCACCATGTTTAAATTTATACTGATTTTTCTTTGTCTGACTTCATTCTCTCCAGAGTCTTGTGTGTTTGCATGTGTATATCACTATATTGTTATTTCTTTATTTTTCTGTCTTCCTCACTAGACTGACCCTTCCAAAAAACTGGGACCATGTAGCCTTCTTTATACCATCAGTGCCTGACACAAATGCACTCAATTCATTTTTGTTAAGCTGAACCAAGTAATAGATGATTTGACTGTCAGGTCTAGAATTTAATATTGCTAGAAGTAATTTCTTTATTTTCATCATTTGGTTTCTGTGTTGATAGACTCTGCTATTAAAGTCATATCTGGAAAGGAATCATTGTCATTTGGAGCATATTTCATGGGTTGAGTAATATAGCAGAGTGGTGAACATTTTTTTAACCTCTCCTTTTAAAGAAACAGTTGTTGTTGACTATACTGTGGGGATAAAATTTTCACAAATATATAAAAACCCTACAAGTCTGGTATCACACTTTTGATCTTTGAGTAAAATCAGTAGTCATATTGAACTTGTAAACTTTGACACGGAGACATCTTTGTTCCTAACTCTTTCCTTTAGGTTATTATCGCACTGAGAGAGATAAGGGCACACTGTATGAACTCTTTTTTAAGAAAGCAGACCTTACGGAATATAGACATGTGACTCTCTTCCGCCCTTTTGGACCTCTCATGAAAGTGAAGAGCGAGATGATTGACATTACTAGATCAATTATTAATATCATTGTGCCGCTTGCTGAAAGAACTGAAGCATTTGCACAGTTTATGCAGAACTTCAGGTAACTCCCGGGGCTTAGTGATTTGACTGAGCGCTCCTAAAAAAAAAAAAAAGCACATTTCATGCCATTTTATTTAATTTACCTTCACTGAGTATGATTACTTAGAATTACAGAACAATTTTTTGGGCTTTAGGGAACTTTATGTTTTGATATTCCCTTTTTTCTTAAGGCATGTATAGTATGTTGTGTTACAACTTGAACTGTGAAGTAAATTGAGGGTGACAACCATTAGAAACTAAATTTGATTACCTTTATAATTGTGTTTGAATTCATTTTAGGACAAGTTGAATTTTTTAAAATAAAGTTATTGACGTGTAACTTACATACAATAAAATCTACATATTCCAAGGATAGAGGTTTCATGACTTTTGACAAATGTATACACCCATGTAACTGCCTCTCCAGTTACGATATAGAGCATTACTATCTCCCCAGAAAATTCCCTGAGAACAATTTGAATTTCAAAATTTAAAGAAATTTTAGAAGTACAAATATTGAAGTAAACGTGGGAGAATGTTATTCCGTCTTGGGAAGCAGAGACTATAGCAGTTTTTAAAAGAATTTTTTTCTCTTTTTTAATCATTAAATTTGGATATTTTTAAATGCTGAAGTGTTAAAAAATTAACAACTACATATTAGGAAAGTTTTACTTTTTTGTTTTAATTGAACAATTGTCATGTTTTTAATACTTTAATATGATAGTTTTAATTCTTTGTAGTCCCAATCTTTGTTCTCATTGTTGTTGTTGGATGTAAAAGTTAGTTAACACAGTTCTGTTGCAGAATATCTAGAAGTCATGCTTCCAAATGAGTTTTATGTTTTTGAAGTTGCTCACTTGAGATCTGATTTCCTAAAGCATTTTTTAATTTCCTTTCTTGGAATTACCTTCAGATGCTACATTATTCTTTACAGTTACTAATCTCAATCATGACAAATATTTACTCCTTGATGATAAGTGTAATTTCTCTAATTAGCCAATCTGAAGACAAAGTAACTCTTGACCCCAAACTTGAGTTATTTATTTATTTGGTTTTGAACTGATTGAACTTATTTCCTTGACTAGCTTATAATTTGCTTCTGAAGGCAATACCAAAGCAAAAGTTCCAAAAATGTTTTGAAATATGGCAAAATTCAGCAATATTGCCAGTTTTATATTTACTTAAAGCTCTGTGTGATTTCATTCTAAATGAGTAATGTTTCATTTGTTTTCTTGTTAAAGCTTCATGTGATTGCTTTCTGAATGAGTAGTGCCTCATATATTTTCCTGAATGAACTTTATTTTTCAATTCTGTTAGGGATGTATGTATTCATCAGGACAAGAGAATTCATCTCACAGTGGTGTATTTTGGTAAAGAAGGACTATCTAAAGTCAAGTCTATCCTAGAATCTGTCACAAGGTTGGTGAGCCATGTCCACATTGAAGTCCTTTATATATAATAATAGAAGAATGAGAATTTCAGATACTTAATGTATGAATAATTTTGAATAGCTGCTGTTAAAAGTTGGCTGAGCATGTGAGTGGTGGTGCTAGTAAGTTCCTCATTTCACCCCTAAGTTCACTCTAAATGACTCATCTTCCCTTAACCTCTTAGGCAGTGTGGCATGATTAGGGTGCTCTCACTCTGCGGCCCACTCACCTTGTATATATTTGCCTCCATTTATTCTTCCATTTCCTTCTTTTTCAGCTGTTTCCCTTGTTCTAAATCTAATCCCTTCACTTGGATATCATCTCCTGAGCTTGTCTCTCTCTCTTGCTTGCCACTTTTCTTTCCTTCCATTTTCCTAAGTTCCTTCTCACCCTGCACATGAGCTTAGGTCTCCCCTATCCTTAAGAGACCCCCACCTGACTCTACAGTACCCAGTAACTGCTATTAGCTTTCTGTCCTTTCACATCTGAACCTCACAAAACAGTAGCTATCTAACCAAGCAACTCATATAGTACCTGGCACACAGTAGGTGCTCAGAGGTTTGAATGAATGAATTAGTAATTCCTTAATACTCCATTATTAATTCTGTAGCTTCTCAGCCTTTTCATCTCTAAGTTATGGGCCCAGAGTTATGACCTAACTGCCAAATTCAGCCTTTTCTCTGTGATCCTCTTTGCTTTCTTACATTTGATACCTAACCAGTACTTCCTTCTTGAACCTCTCCTCTGATGTTTGTAAAATTGTAAATATTTTGTAAATGTAGATGTGTTAATAATGTAAGATATAGGTTGATTGACTTTTCTGACCACATCAACTCTGTATCCTTTACTTGCTTCTTTACCTTTCTGCTAGTTGTGGCCATTCCCTAAGAGTCCAGCTTTGGCCGGCCATTCTTCTCGAATCGTTCAACTAACATTCATTGAGTCCCACCGACTATGTTCCAGGTACACTGCTCGGGAGTCTAACTGGGGTGGTTGGGATAGGACTGGGCACAGAGGAGGGAGTTGCAGTCCCTACCCCAAAGGGACTCTCACAGCATTGGAGTAGGAAAAACAAACACTGTCTCCTCCTCCGCCTTCACTGGCTCCTCCTCCTGATGGCCCTCTTTCAGTTCAGACGAAGGTTCTCGTGATTCCCTGGGCTTGATGTCTGAGGGCCAGCGTCTTTCACTCATTCTCTACCTCTGATTAATCGGTTTCTGCTCACCGCACAGGACCTCTGTTCTGTCCTTTCCTTGCTGCTGCCACCGCTCTAACCCACGCTCCCCTCCCTCCATTTCTTCCCTTTGTCTCTTCCCTCCTCACCATTTTCAGATCACCTACTAAGTACCAGTGACTCATGTTGGTATTACTGAAGTTGTCCCTGCATTAATCAAGACTCCTCTGTGGCAAATGACGGAAACTTATCTTGAATTTGGCTGAGGAAAATGGGAGCATTATTGAAGAATCTTGGATAACTCCCAGAATTAAAGGGATTATTATAACCAAATTTAATGAGAAGAAAACCAAAACAGCTTTGGTATCTTAGGGACTGGAACCAGAGACTTGAATACCATCAGAATTCTCTTCTTGTCTGTTTTTCTCTGCATGTTGACTTCATTCTCCTGTTGCAGATTGGCTTCTTCCACATGTGAGGTATATGGCTGTTGGCGGCTCTGGGCTCACATCTTCTCAGCTTTGCCATCAGAGAGGAAAGAGCTCTCTCCCTGATCCAGTTGAGAGAATGCCAGGGAAGGACTTTTGCCCACTCTTGAGCCAGTCACTATGGCCAGGTGGGGTGGGGGTATTTTGATTAGCCCAGCTTGAGTCTGGTCCTTGCCCCTAGGAAATTACTGCGGTTGGGGTATTCTGTGATTAGTTCCTCCACTTGGTGCTGGGAGTGTGAGGTGGTGATCAGCAGTTTCCCCAAAAGAAGGGAGAGATTTACAACCTATAAAGGGGGCAGGGGAGGCATGGGCACTCAGAGTACTTGGAGTCCACTCCATGCACTGTTTGAGTCTTTGCTTCCGTCTCTCCGTTTCCCATTCTATACTATTTTAAGAGTAATCTTTTAAAAATGTTCCTTTTTTGATCCAGCTGTTCCCTAGTGCAGCAGTTCTCCAACTTTAACATCAGTAACCTGGAGTGACTTGTCCCAGGAGAGACGCAGATGCTCAGCTCCTCCCCTAGTATCTGATTCAGGGGCCTGGGGTGGGGCCTGAGAATATGTATTTCTGACCTGTTCCCGGGGAATTCTGATGCTGTGGGTGCATGGACTTGGCTGTGATAAACCACTGCCCTGGTGGAAAGACCCTGACTCCTCCTTGACTTTAGAACACTGACCAAGTTCTTCAACTTCTCATGGAAGGTACTCCTTAGTCTGACCCTTTTCTGGTCTTCTCTCATTGTTCCATTTTAGAATCCCTGTGTTCCAGTTTGACTTGTCTGATTCCTGTTCTTTAAAAAAACTTTCTACTTTCTTACCTCCTTGCCTTTGAGAATAATTAATTGGAATGACCTTTACACTCACCGCCGAATTCAGGATTTTAACTAAGGCATAACTTAAATTCTGTTTCTAACGTCTTCTCTAACTACTTCAGACAAAAGCAATCTTTTTTCCTCAGAACTGCTGTTCATTCATTCATTCAGAAAATATTTATTGAACTCCTACCCTTTGAGGGGCATTGTGTCCATAGTAATGAACAAAACAAAATCCCTGCTCTCAATGGAGCTTACATTCTAGTGGGAGACACTGAAACAAACATTCCTGGTGGTACTGAGGAAAACAAAGCTGGGCAAGGGAATAGAGGTGAAAGAAAAGGGAGGTCAGGGCTACTTCACATGTAGCATGAGGGGATCCCTCTGATAAGGGGACATTTGAGCAAAGATCTGAAGAACTAGAGAGAAGAGCACTCTTTGTATGTATCATTCATGTGGATTGCATTATTTATTACCAAATATTATGCTGTTTTTCCATGTGTATATTTCTTACCTCCCCAGTAGGTTTTTAAGATCCTGAAGAGTAGTGGCCCCTCAACACTTACTAACTTCGCACCACTAGCATGTTGCCTCAAACGTGGGCATTTAGTTGACTGTCTGTCCCTGATGATGATGATCATACACATGAAACTGATCATTGTCTTTCCTTATATGAATGTAGACCCAACATAATAAATACCTGAAAGTAAAATATATTTTGTAAGTTGCATTAAGAGAGTCAGCTTTAAGTGGGACTTACCATTTGTTGTATGTGCTTTCCTCATAGTGAGTCTAATTTTCACAATTACACCTTGGTCTCATTGAATGAAGAATTTAATCGTGGACGAGGACTAAATGTGGGTGCCCGAGCTTGGGACAAGGGAGAGGTCTTGATGTTTTTCTGCGATGTTGATATATATTTCTCAGCCGAATTCCTTAACAGCTGCCGGTTAAATGCTGAGCCAGGTGGGTAAAATGTTAGTAGGTGAGTTGAGTGTAGAATTTAGAACAATGTCAGCACATCCCATATTTTGAATCAAGTTAATTATGTTTTTTAAAGGTTTTTTTGGTGTAATTTAGCTGGAATATTAAGTAGAAAAGTGAAAATTTGCCCCTCTGAAGTTCATACCCCTTGTTCTATTATGGCCAGATTCCAGTGTATACATTTGGATTCAGATAAACAAATGCAAAGAAATAAGTCTTGAAATTGACAAGGAGGAAGTAGCACCCATCAAAAAAGAGCAAAGTGATAGTGTGATGTGTGAGATTCAGAAGCACTGTACCTCAGGCAGGTGGTGCCAACACACAAGCAGGCATGCACTCACGCAGAGGTCTAGATACAGATGGTGCTTGGTCTCCAGACTGTGCATTTTGGGATGATTACTATACTTTGTTTTATGTTGTACGTATTTTTTGAAAATGTTAAGAGCAAATGACATTTTTATATATCAAATATTATTTTAAATGTGAAAAGGAAGTTTTCTATATTAAAAAAATCTCATAGTAAATGTTTTTTTATATAGAACTACTCATATCGTACAAATTATCATCTTCTTATTAATCAATTTGGTTAGGGATGGTTGTCAGGAACTTTCTGAGAGTCAAGTGGGTAAAAAAGGGTTAGATTTACCTTTTTTTTTTACCAGGCAAAAAAATATATTTTACATTATTTCTTTAATGTAAAAGAAATAGATTTGCCTCTGGGAAATTGAGCTCCCCTTCCCTAAGTGGGTTTTAATGAAGATGAGATGAACATCTGCTGGGGATCTTGTAATAAAAAGGCTGCCACATTACTTACAGGGTCCTTGACAATTTCTGAGTGCTACATATTATCACGTCTGATTGAGGCCAGTCTCAGCAAGAGGTTCTCTATTGAGAGGAGATGGGCTAGTTAGTTAGCCTTAAAGGGTCCCTTCAGTGCTAACAATCTGAATGCTAATGACAAGGCCTTTTGAGGGGGCTGTTACATCATGTATTTTTAACTCCATCTTCCCAAGTTTTTCAAATCTTGTTTAGATCTGTCTGCAGTTCTATATTCTAATTATTCTTTATGTATCCATTATACAATATCCTTTGGATTCACTGTTTTTATGATTCATTTTGAAGGGTGAGTTTAACAGAAGTTTCTAAGTTTCTTGGTGATTGTCAGAGGTTAACCTACATCTGTTACTGCTAATTCGATGAAATAATGATTAATAAATGGTTCACCTCAGAACAGGTGAGAGAATGCTTTTGTGCATCGCCCCAGAGTCAACGGGAATAAACATGTCAAAAGGGAATAAAGCACCGTTTAGTCTTTTTTTCTCTGTTCTTTTGCAAGGTTATAGTTTCATAGCCAAACTTACTGATATGTTATAAAATCATCATCATGTTCATCAACATGAGGTTTCAATAACCTGAACATTGATAAAATACAAAATAAAATAAGATCATCATATATAACAAAGAAACACTTTAACAAAGTCATAGTAGATATTACAATAAAGATCAGTGCTTTATTTTATTACTTCTTTTTGTGATGTAAACATATTTTAATTTATAGGTAAGAAGGTGTTTTACCCTGTGGTGTTTAGTCTTTACAACCCTGCCATTGTTTATGCCAATCTGGATGTGCCCCCGCCTGTGGAACAGCAGCTGGTAAGACTCTTACTATCGGTTATGAAAAGTCTCAGAGATCCTTGCCTGGTTCCTTTATGTTTGTTTCACAAACAGAAAACATAGTTTCAATTAAAAACTGTAGTTACTATGAACACACTTTCATAGTGTACTCCCTCCATAAAGTGTGATTCTGGCAGGAGGTTGCGGGGTGGGCAGAAAAGTTTAGGCTAGAGAGAAAAATTCAGATTCTAGATTGTGAAAATTGTACGGTCATTTCTACCAACTTATTTTTAGTAATACTAAAAATAAATTTTAATTTTAGAAACCTTACTAACTGGAAATTAAATCTACTAAATAAATAAGAAGGAATAATATACTATGGGAAGTTACTTAGAAAGTCTTGGAATGGGGATGCCATATATCAGAACTTACAGTAATTGACAAAGTTACAAAAGTTTTGAAAAAAATTTAAATAAATGTGTGGAATAATTTAGATTTACAGAAAAGTTGGAAAGATAGTATAGAGAGTTCCTGTACTTCACCCAGTTTCCCCTGTTGTTTACATCTTACATAGCCATGGTTCATTTGTCAAAATTAAGAAATTAACATTGGTAAGTTACTGCTAACTACACTATAGATTTTATTAGGATTTCACCAGTTTTTCTACTACACCTCCTCTTTCTGTTCTAGGATCCAGTCCAGGACACTATATTGCATTTAGCCTAATCTTCTATTGTTAACATTAAGAACAAAAAGGAAACAAATGAACCAAGAAGACAATTTAACATGTTTAAAAAGTGAAAAGTAACTCCGGGAAAGAAATAAAGATAAAGGTGGAAATTAATGAACCAAAAATAATAGATTGACAAATATAGGCGCTTATTCTTTATGTGCAGAAAAAATGTAATCATAAAGTGGGCAGATTCAGGGTAAAATAGAAAAAACAACAACGTACAAAATTAGAATAAGAAAACATTAAGAGAAATCTATTTCATATAGTAAGTTTCAAAAATTCTAAATAAAAGGAAAGATTTGAGAGTTTATAAAATATTAGCATGAACTAAATTCATGTAAATTTTTTTTTTTTGTACTTTTATTTTATTTTATTTTTGGCTGCACCACACAGCATGCGGGATCTTAGTTCCCTGACCAGGGATCAAACCCACGCCCCCTCCATTGGAAGCATGGAGTCTTAACCACTGGGCCACCAGGGAAGTCCCTCGTGTTAATATTTTATAAAAGCTCATGTTAGTATTTTATAAATAAAAGAGATGGAAGCTCTGAAGAGACGAAGAGCAATTTAAAATATTAGAACAGTTATCAAACATTTAACCTGCAGATACGTAGATATGTTTCACTGGTGAGTTTTTCCAAACTTTCAAAGAACAGATAGTATTAGTGCCATATGATCTACTTAATATATTATAAGAGGCCAGCATTATCTTCATACCAACCCGTGGCAAAGCATGTATACATAAACATACACACACACACACACACACACACACACACACACACACACACACACACACACACTTCTACCTTATCTGTAGGCCAGTATTACTTAGGAATATAGATACAAATGGGGTCAAAGTGGCAAACTGAGCATCTACATCTGCCTTATCTGACACCCTAAATCCTTTGTAGAAGTGAATTATTAAAAATAAAAAGGCATATTCGTATTGGAGAATGAGAGAAGTGCCATTAGGAGATCTAAATTTTGAGAAATTTCTGTAAGATGACAATAGTTGTCATAGGGTTGATTAATGGAGGAGAGAACAGTCTGAAACATATTCAGGACAACACTGAAGATGGGGCTGCCTTGCATCCTCTGAGCTCATAGAAGACAGGGAGTGGTAGAGTATCTGTGCTTCTCTGGAAGGTGTGCTGAACAGCAGGCATCACAGGCACTGACCTACAGGCTGAGGCAGTGTGTGTGGTCCCTGGAGCTAGAAAGGCAGGGTAGGGTCCTAGGAATACTGAGTTGTAGGGTGGATAGGGAGCCCCAGACTCCAGAGGTGAGCTGTTGTTGGCACATTTTGCCCAAGACCACGTTTAGCCCCTCCTTCACTATTGCTGGAGATAGACCCCTGTAATCATAGCTAACAACCAGGGGTTTTTGAACAATGATTTTTGAAACAAAAATGAGTAGCAGCTAACCACAGCTAGCCAAACATTTGAGGGAAGCTAACACAATGAAAGAGGCACCAAATTTTAATAAATAGAAAAATTAACATATGAGAATATGAATACAGATAGAAAACAACTTTAAATATATGTTTAAGGAAATTAGAGAAAATGTTAATTTTGTAAAACTATTTGTTGCTAAAAATAGAGTCAGAACTTGGAAATTGTGAAAATATAAAACTCAGTAAATGGGCTGAATAGCAGATGGTCACAGTTGAAATAGTTTATAAACTGGCAGACAGGCCAAGAGACAATGTGAGAGAAAAATTGAGATGTGGGAAATCAATTCAGAAGCTCCCAGATTGTTTAATAGGAGTTCCAGAAGAGAAAGAAAAGAGAATAGAGAGGGGAGGAAATAGAAGAAAACTTCAAAGAACTAAGAAAAGATAAGTCTTCTGGCATTTGAGAACAGAAGTCAAGGGACAATCCTAATAGTTTCCAGAGACGCCAAAAATAGCAAAACCTAGCTTGTCTACAAAGGAATAATAGGTTGGCACTCGCGGCCTTCGTGATAATATTGGTATTAGAAGATAATAAAATGATACCTTGAAAATTCTGAAGAAAAATAACTTCAATTATAGAATCCATATTTGACTAATTTGAGGGCAAAATAGACATTTTTGAACACTGAAGAACTCAGAGTTTATTTCTCACAGACATTTTCTAATTCAGCAGAATGAGAATGAGCACATTGAAAGAGGAAGACCTGAGAATAAAACAGTGGTCAGGGCCTTCCCTGGTGGCGCAGTGGTTAAGAATCCACCTGCCAACGCAGAGGACACGGGTTCGAGCCCTGGTCCGGGAAGATCCCACATGCCGCAGAGCCAAGCCCGTGCGCCACAACTACTGAGCCTGTGCTCTAGAGCCCGTGAGCCACAACTACTGAGCCCGAGTGCCACAACTACTGAAGCCCATGCACCTAGAGCCTGTGCTCCCCAACAAGAGAAGCCACCGCAGTGGAGAAGCCTGCGCACCACAACGAAGGGTAGCCCCTGCTTGCCACAACTAGAGAAAAGCCTCTGAGCAGCCACAAAGACCCAATGCAGCCAAAAAACTTTATTTAAACGCAGCCAAAAAAATTTTATTTAAAATAAATTATTTTTAAAAAGTGGTCAACAACAGCAAGAACCTAGTAAAACTTTAGTTTCTTTAAATAGTTGTTGATGAAACACATAATAAAAAATAAGTTAATAGCAATTTAGGATTAAAAAGTCAAAGGGTATATACATGGTATACATACATGTATGACCTAACTTTGTCCCAAGAAACCCAGAAGCAGCGCCATCTTTAGAGTAAAAGACATACCCAGCTCCCAGATCTTAGTGCTGGGACAGGAAATAGAGGAGCCTGGAGCATCCTGTAGCTCTAGAAAGTAAGGAGATATTCAAACAACAAAAGGATGAGGGTATGTCAGAGGGACACAAGAGCCTGAAAGGGCTCCCAGTGGCAAAGCTGGAACAATTTGAGCAACAAAATAAATAACCTAGTACTGGATTATAACGCCAGCATAAAATAAATATCCATGAGTCCATACTGATATAAATAAATTTGTGAGTGAGTAAATAATTAATAATAATGAATGAACTGGGTAGATTGATAGGTTGATTAGATTAGATAGGGGGAAAAGAGATCTTCCCTACCAAATTCTAAATAACTTATAGATACTCCCTTTTCCAGAAGGTGGAGCTAGGTGACTCACTTCCAAAGAAACTATGAAAAAAGAAAAACTGGTAGGTTTCAACAGAGAAACCTGGCAGACACCACCTTAAACCAAGTAATGAAGGTTAACAATACTAGTGTTGTCATGTACCCCCTCATATGATGTAACAAGAAAGGCACTTCACCCCTGTGGTCTTTCTTCCAAAAACCTATAACCCCAGCCTAATTATGAGAAAAACTTCAGACAAACCCAAATTGAGGGACATCCTATAAAATACCTGACCATTACTCCTCAAAGCTGTCAAGGTCATCAAAAACAAGACTGAGAAAATGTCACAGTTTCTCAGGAGACTAAGGAGACATAACACCAAATGCAATATGGTCGCCTGGACTGGATCCTAGAACAGAAAAAAGGACATTAAAGGAAAAACTGGTGGAATCCAAACAAAGTCTGCAGTTAGTTAATAGTAATATACCATTGTTGGTTTCTTAGTTTTGACAAATGTACCACAACGGTGTAAGATAATAACATTTAGGGGAAGCTAAAAGCTACAAGAGAAGTATATGGGAACTCTTTACTATGTGGCAACTTTTCTGTAAATCTGAAATTATTTCAAAATAAAAAGTTTATTTATAAAAAATTTTACTTGGAAAAACAAACCAGAAGAAGTGCAAAATGGACTCAACCTATGAGGGTGAAGAGCGAATATTCTTGTCTGGTTTGGGAGGAGGTGGGTGAAGAATGATTTGAAAGTGGATTCATTCTAAGATGTTGTATAGAAAAATAAGTTTAAGTACTTCCATTTCAAATTGTAGTTTCACCAGTTTGTAACCATTGCAAGTTATTTAACCTTTCTAAGCTTCATTCTTCTCACTTAAAAAGCATAAGACAAAAGTTTGCTCTCCATAATATTTAAAGTTGTATTAGAAGTAAATAGGAAATACACCAAATAGGAAAAAAATAGTTAAAAGGCATTTGATAATAATTCACAGTAAACATATTTAAATAGTCATTCTTACTAAGAATGCATTAAAACAGCAGTGTGATACTTTTCTTTTGCTGTGAAATAGCTGTTTTTAAAAACAGCCATGTGAGTGAGGCTGGTGGGGTAGGGGCTCCTCCGTCCCTGCCAGTGGTGTGGGAATGCAGGTGAGCTTTCTGGGTCAGGAGTTTTCAAACAGGTTCATCCCTC